AAAAGCAGCCCGCGACACCCACTGTTACCATTACAGATTTATTCAAAGCGGTAGCACGTACCTAGGCTCTTTGGCCGGGCGGCATTTATTGATGTACTGGAGGGGGGCACGATTGTTTATAAGTCGATTGGGGCATGTTCATTACTGAATATGTAGGGGGTGGGCATCGCTGGGATGAGAGGCCGACAGCAAAACTCTTTCCTGGGATTGAGGAAAAAGCTGCAAGCGGGAATGACACACAATTAATGAGCGTGCCGGCACGCAAAAATAAACGTTGTGTGAATTTCATTACGATTTTACATGTACTGTATTTACTCGTGTATAAGCATTATTCATGTATAAGTCGCACCCCCTATTTTGCCTTGAATAGTTGGTACAAACATTGGTACGTTAACAAGATTTCTTAACCTCGTCTATAAGCCGCACCCCCTGATTTTTTTATTGATGTTATCAGGAGTAGATAATAGAATATTAGATTCTTCTATTATCTACTCCTGATGTTATGAATATTATCAGGAGTAGATAATAGGGATTATCTACTCCTGATATTATATGATACCATCCATCATGATACCATGTATAGAATACAATCGGTGTGTGTGTGTGTGTGTGTGTGTGTGTGTGTGTGTGTGTGTGTGTGTTGGTGTGGGTGTGCAGGGCCGTATAGTGGCCGCCACGGCAGCACGTACGGCACTGCCGTGGCACTATTTTGACAAACACAAATTTGCAGGGAACCAAGGAGCTGACTATAGCTGTTATCTGACTGGACTGTCTGTTATTACTATTAATACTGATTAATTAGAGCTAGGTGTTATATCAGTGCTCTAAGATTTGGAATCAGGGTAAAAAATACACGGGAGCGATGAGCGATTCGCTCTTCAAACCTCCGAAATCGCTCCCGTCAGGCTCAAAACAGCTCCCGTACAAATTTTGACTTGAAAAAGAGCTCCCGTGAAAATTTTTTTTTTCCCCCTGTTTGGAATGTGTATTTAATATGACAAAGGTATTGTGATTCAAATTCAAACTTCAAAACATATACAGATGATAGTGAAAGTATAAATGCAGATTGAAAATAGGCTTATTTTTCACAATTATATGTACTGATAGGGATAGTATATACAATTTTGTAAACAATGTTTTATTAGTTATCATACTCATATAATATATATTTAGATACTTTAGTCAAAACATCAGCTTTAGCTGCATTCCTTTTTAAAATTTACAAATTGACCTTTTAAAATGATCAGAATTGGTTGCTTTCAACATAGCCTGAAAATGCAGGCAATGCAATTTTCATGCTCTAAATTTCAAAGATTTTCTCGTGGAGGGCCCCCAGACCCCCTGAATGGGCTTCGCGACTGCGGCGTTCGCCGCGTGTGCCGGCACACACCATAATCGCTACTTGTGCTATTATTACATGGTTGTAGATGGTTAGATGGTGATCCTACATTTTTCTGCAGTAGCACATTTTGGGAGGCCACTAGAGCCCTGGTGTGGGTGTGCGTGCGTGCGCGTGCATATGTGTGTGTTCGTGTTTACGTGCCACTGAACTGTATATAATCAAGAGCTAATAATAGCTAGGTAATATTATTAATTAACCTAATTATTAGTTAATAACCCTATTAACCCTTAATAACCCTATTATTAGTTAACCTAATAATACCTAGGTATTATTAGCTCTTGATATAATAACAGCTCAGTGGTACATAGCGATAGTGGTACATTTTGCATACATCTACAGAGTAGATTCTTCTATTAGGTGCGTTCACACTGGCGCGAATTAGCGGGCTGCAAAACCCGGTTTTTGTAGCTCGCTCGAAAAACTGAGCTTTTTACAAGTGTGAACGCAATTAGCTCACTAAATCGCGCTCCAAATAGCGCGCAATCGCGCTCCAAATAGCGCGCTTCTAAGACCACTTCCGACGGGGCTAATTTGGAATCAGCTCGCTTATTTGCACCGCGGCGTGATATTTGCACTGCGGCGATTAGGGCCCAGTCACACCAGAGCTACGCTCATCACGATCGCCCCGTCCTAAAAAAATTTGCCCGAGCGTGGTGAGCGTGGCCAATTGGGCCCCAGCCGGGCCCAGCGCCGATACTACGATCTAACTACGTCTATACTACGACCTAAGTGCGTCTTTACCCCGATCTCATTGCGCTCAACAAGCTTTCACCACGCTCAACACCACGCCCGCAATCACGCTTGCACTGCGCGGACTGCGTCATTATTGCGACCAATCAGATCGTGTTGCGTTCGAACGACGCTTGCACTGTGCCTTAGCAACGCTCACCGCGCCTCAAACTGCGCGCCAATCACGCGCCGACTGCGCTGGCAACGATCATAAAAATACCGCGCCGCGTTCTATACATCATCATTCATTCTGCCGTGCTGTCAAAATTAACATCAAGATAATTATTAAGATCAACATTATCAACTTAAATCAAGATTATTAACATCAAGATTATTTTCTACGGACACAACTATGCCGCCAAAAGACAAGGGGAGAGGCCGTGGAAGGGGGAAAGGCCGAGCAAAGACTCCAAGAGGTGCAGTAATCCGTTATCTCCATCAGCATCAAGTGTTGCCCTGGAATCAGATCCTGAGCAGCCTCAAGAATCCCTGCCTCCAGCCACGCACGCCCATGAGAGTGACGTAGACACCGACGCTGCGAGTGTCACCAGCAAGACCAGTGTAGCCAGAAAGGGCAAGAGGAATGTTGTGTTATATTTATGTTTATGTTTATGTTTTTGTTTATCACACTCTAATTATTAATGTTGCCGTTTGTGAAAGTTCGAATAAATCAGGGTTTCCACCAAAAACAGATGTTATGTTTAATGCTTAGTTATTTGTTTGTATAAATAAATCTGTGATTTGTAAGTAATAAAAGTGAACTTAAATAAATATTCAAATTAAAAATGTGTTACCAATCATATGAGTGCAACACATTTTTATCTTTAAATAGTAATTTCATTTTTATTACACACATGTATTTTGATATATTTCAAATATATGTATGACATATCTTTATTTTACACTTTATTAACATAAATATAACATAACTTATTGGACTTGGATTTACAATAATCGTGTCTTTTGGATTTATTTAAAAGATACATTTTACATTTCTTTATTAGACAATTATTTTAGCTTCTACAGTCAATAATCTGTCTTCATCATATGTATCATAAAATCCATCCTTCAACGTAGTCCATCCATCTTCACATTATCATACGGTCCTGCCATGGCAAGATCCTGTCGCGACTATTAAAGTACAGTTTCAGGTACTCTCTCTGCTTCTTGCGGCCACGCTGTCACTCGATTGACATCGTGCATATTTGCTGTTTCTCTCCAGAGTCCTGGCACCATGTAATGTTGCTGTCTTCATTGGCAAGCTGTGCATTCTGAAGGCCTGGGTAGCGTATTCTCATGAGGTTATGAAGGCAGACGCAAGCCTCGATGATGAGGCTCACTGTCTTGGGAGTTTGCTGCATGGTGTGAGTAGAAGCTGCCACTCTCTGGGCCAGTATGCCGAATGCATTTTCACCACGCGTCTCCCTCTGAGATCCTGTAGTTGGTGATCATCTCTTCCCTTGTCTTGCCGCGGTGTGAGTATGGCTTCATAAGGTATGTTCTCAGTCCAAAAGCATCGTCTCCCAGGAAAAAGTACGGCATGTTCCTGTCACTCGTTCGGCATGGATCTGGATCAGGAAAGCCAATGGATCCATCTCTAACAGTCTTTCAATTCCGATTCGTTGTAGATTTGGATGCGTCTGACTGTGTGCCCTATCCACCACGTCTATCCACACAAACTTGTAGTCGCAATCACCAAAGCCATAAGCACCACGGAAAAGAAGCCTTATAGGTATATACAATGAGCCAGAGTTCCGTGGGCATCTGATGGCCACATGTTTTCCGTCGATGCACCGCAGGCATGGGGCACATTCCATTTTCCGGAAATCTTCGCAATGGCATGCCATTCCTCTGGCATCGTAGGACACGAAATGACCTCCTCTTTGTGTTCTCTCTACAATAGCCTGGCACACCTCTGGAACCAACAGCGATATGGTGTTGCGGCCACTCTGAAGTCATACTGAATGTGAGGATATTTATCACCCGATGCTAGATGCCTTATGGTGATTGCCAGTTTCAGTCCTGGTTCAAGTGTTTTCTGTATCGGGTGTTCTGCTTCTGGATTCTCGGCCCCATTCTGACAAGCAGTCATCGAACATCTCCGGAGCATCTCAGGAAGTTAAGAAGTATGCTTGATCTTCCATGCGGAGCTCAGCATGAGGCGCATCATAGTGACCATAGAGAAGTCTTTCTACGAAGCCACGGACGCACCCAGCAAGATCTTGTTGTCTTCTATTCTCCTCCTCGTCCTCCTCAGCATGATGAGGGCTTGGCAATCAAGTAGTTCGAGTTCTTCTACGAGAAACATGGCATGGAGTAGTGTTGCCTTATCCATAGTGGACACTGAACTGGTGGGCTGGCAGGTAGCACCCCAAATTAAAACGTATGAAACGTATTGACATCGTGCTGAGAACAGGGCGACAATTTTCACGCCACCCGACACGCTTGCGAACGACCATTAAGTTCGTACTATGCTTCGAGTTACGTGGCGCTACTACGCCACTGCTTCCACGTCTCTAATACGCCCGCACTGCGCTGTATTTCCGCCACGCGCGCACCACGATTAGTTTGGCCACGCTCCCCACGCTCATGCTGACTGCACCGCGCACGATCACGATCGCAGTACGTCCATATACGTCCACACTGCGTTCTACACGTTTTCACCACGCTCTTAGAGCGTAGTACGCGCGTAGTGAGATCGGGGCCCTGGTGTGACTGGGGTATTAGCGAGATATTCGCCTGTGTGAACAACGACACAATTAGCTCACTATTATCTCCGCTATTAGCGGGCTGAGCAGCGCGGTTTTTTCTTGTGTGTGAACGCGCCTAATATCTACTCAAGATAATATGGATAATTCGGAACATAATATATCATAATATTATAATATTCTATTTGCAAGTATCTATACATTGTATCACAGCATATTGCACAGATGCGTTAATGGTATGAAAATATACGCAGAAAAGTATAAAATACTGCTAATAATACTCAGTGATAGGCAGATACACCATAATAATAAACTTGATACTTTTAATAAAAATTTGACAGTGTACTATGTTACCCATAACTCTGATCATATGGATTAGAGACGTGGAACATGAAGAAGGCCCTGCAGGACCGGCTTGATGGCACATACACTCGGCTTCTTATGAGAGTTCAGAACATCAGCTGGCGGGAACACAAAACAAAAGCAGAGATCTATGGTAGTAGTAGTAGTAGTAGTAGTACTATGTTATTGCAACTCGTCACGTGTTGAGAGGCTATGGAAGATGCAATGTTGATTTCAATCCCAAATGATTATGCAAACTGATGTACAATGCAGCATAGATTTTACAGAGACAATGTATTCTTCCCTTAATCACCACTACTAAGCATAATTACACAATTTATCAGTATTCCAGTCACTATAACAAAAAATATCACATTGTTACAAATGAAATTGTTACTTAGAAACCGGCAACTGTTCAAATGTAGGAAAATGGGAGCACTGTTAGAATATGTGATGAAATGGTACAACAGGGCCTATATCAGATACTTATATATACTTATTATACATTAATATATCATATAAATAATGCATTCCTCATACAGTAAATACAAATAATACAAGGCAATTGTTTAGACACCCAAAACAAGGAAGTAACACATACATAAATCAGAGCTGTATACATAGACAAAACATGCGTAACTGCATGTGGATATGATGAAACAGGAGTAATGGTTACTGCTGGTTGCATTCTGCATTGTTCTCCCTTTGATATGCATGTGCATCAACCAAGCGTTTCTGGTTTTGTATTCCCCTCTTTCGACCTCCTGGAATGGGCTTAGCACATTGTGGTTCGTCTATAGTTCCTCTTTCTTCTTCTTCTTCTGCAATAAATATAACATTAAAAATTAGAATGACAAATTATATCATGGTATTTTTTACAGTGGCTACGCATCCGGTTATCCATTACAAAGCTCAGCACAGATTCCTAAATCCACGTCACAATTAGGCCACGCCCTCTTTTAAATCGTTGATTTTACTGGATTTACTATTGTGTCAAAAGTTACAAACACACATTTTTTTGATAAAATACCTAAAGGTAAGTTGTTTGTTTTTTACTGAAAATATATAGTTTGGTTCACATAAGACATTGGCCTCTGACATCACACCTCGTGATTGTGCTGCTACCCTGACAAAGTTGCGCTTTTGCCGATTTATTTTGCACGTTATAGACCGAGAGCTAATCACAAATGTGCAATTATATTTATACCCAACTCCTATTTAACCGAACGATTTTTATTTTAGGACAAAATCGTCCATATTATAACTGAATCTAAAAGTTGTTTATAATATATTGCAATCCTTCTCCTTCCTCTTAAATTAATAAATAAGAAACACTCCTGCATGGCCTGTAGCCTGCAGCCGAAAAGTTGCAATGCAAAACTTTGAAAGCAGATGAGCTAGTAGTAGCGCCACCGTCGTTGTACGCAACTATACAGCCGTTAGTTTTTTTAAAACATTAAAAAATATATTTATAATAAATATTGAATGATGGAATTTTTTATTTAGTGTAATTTAAACTTATTTCAACTGAAAATGCAAGGAATCTAAGGTCATGTATCCCTTTAAATCAGGAATCTATATTTTTTACCTTCTTTGTCTATTGAGGAAGGGCTGAAAGACACAAGTCTTGTTCTCTTCTTCTCTATCACAACTTCATCACTCTTTTCTGGTAGTGTACTAAATTTTCCTTCTAAAATGAATTAGTGTCATGTTTGGTAAACGGTGACAAATATGCCAATTTGCCAGTGTTTTGAATAAAGTAATACATTCACTTAAAACATCAAGACTCTTTATTCACATTCTCAGTAAATGCGTATATTTTATCATATGAAAAAATACCCACCATTGACCTTCAATTCGTTATTACTAGTTTTTGCTTCAGTGCGTTTGGAAATATTGTGTTCCTTTAGACTGAAAGCTTCCTTTGTAGGAGGCTTCAGTGCTATCTTCTCTATTCTGGCTCCTGTGGCATTTACAGTATCATTGCTCTGCTGGTTTTTGTCACCTACAAAAACAAGTTTAACAAATACAACAACAACAGATAAATTTAAATAAGGTGGCTTGCATGCCAAACCTTTACTACCAAAGCTCTTAATTCTCACATGCTTTGCTGCAATTGCCCTTGCATCTACTACATGTATAAAAAAATTTAACCGGTCAGGTCTAATTTCTGCACATCTGTTAATTCACACTACTGCCAACACTCAAAATGTACATGTTCAATTAATAACCAGGCAATCTTTTTATCAGGTTAGGATGAACAATGCAACAGGCTGTTCTCTTGCAGGAATGCATGTATGCTAGAACAATAATACTTCTTATTAATATAGAGCAACTAAAGAAAAATATAACGTAATAAAAGCACCAACACGAATGCACGCACGTACACGCACATGCACGCACGCACCTTGTTGGACATCTCTGGCCTGCAGTTTCACCTGGAGACGCACGTTGACTGCCTGAAGCTTTGACACAGTGGCCTGCGACTCACTGAGTCTCCGTTCACATTGCAAGAGCTTATCCGTCTCAGCTATCAGCTGAAAACGCTTGTACTCCAACTGCTTTGATAAACTCAGCTTCTCCTTCCTATTGCAGGAGTTAATCACGCAAAGGGTTAATATTGTATTCATAAAGTCCCTAGATGCTAAAGACCCTGCTTTAGTATTAGTTGATTAATAAATATATTACACACTAAAAAAGAATGTACTCGTTAAACAATCCTGTTTTAATATATTCGTTTGTAACACTACCTTGAAAATGAATGCTGAGATATAATACAAATTCACAGATTTTACTATAGGTAATAAATTTTATAATGAAGTAGTATGATGGTGGATGTACAAGACAGCCTAATAAAAGATTTCTTTCAGCAAACCTGTCACACTCACTCAGCTCGTTCAAGCAAACTGTCCATGGCAGCAGCGCATTGTTTTACATCTTCCTCTTTCTAAAAAAGAAGTTTAAAACAATATACAGTAATTTTTTCATCTACCAAAAGTTTTCGTAGGTACTTTGAGACTCTACAATATAAAACTTTGATGGAACAACTTATTTATAAGCAACACAAATACTGTTAATAAAACTGACAAAATTTATTACGAGTCTACGGGAACATAGGGAAATAGCAACTGTGCATAGAGATAAACTGCAGATGTGAGACCTAAGGGAGAGTTCGATAGCAAGTCTAACCAGCATTACCCTTTTTGCGCTGAGAATCTGAATTTGGTGAGTGAGATCAATAATCTCACTCTGGGCCTGACACAGCTGCTGGTTGAGTCGGGTCAACTGAGTACTGTCCACACGCTGGCTGCACATCTGCATCACAGAAGCAAGTTGTACCTGCAAGTGAGAACGGAGTAGTCAGTAATTTTAATTAAAAAATTATGCAATTTGAGTATTTTTTGTACTTATCTAAACCTCCGTCTCTCTCCCCCCCTCTCTCTCATTGTTTGTCTGTCTCTTTCTCTCTCCCCTTCTCTTTTTCTCTCACTTCCACCACACCTCTCCCTATATTTGTGTAGCTCCCTCTCTATATATTTCTAGCACAAAACAGCTGATTTGTTTCTGATCTGAACTCAATACCTTTAATTTGCTGAGGTGATCCTTTGCCAACGAATACTTTTCGTTAAGGGAGTCATTCTGGTTTATTAAAGACTTTACATGTTCTTCTAGATTCACACGCCGGTCATCAACCTACAGCGAATAAAGGCAAATGATGCAAAGCTATCTACAACAGGAAAATTAAAAAGCTTTAAATTTCTATGTACACCAAACAGCAGTGATTGCAAAGTTCTTGTTGATATAAAAGCACTGGAAATCAAGGCATATCACATACTAGCAACTTGGATAATTTTTAACAATCATAATGGATTCATCTCACGTGACTCATATACTCAACCAAACAATACATGAATTGTCAGAGCTAGTGGTCCCAACTATGGACGGACACATTTTTCTGACACAAGTTACTCTTGATTTTTCTTCTCAAAGTGCCAACTACATTCAAGAATACAAGGTAAAGACTTTTACTTCCGCAAAGATGGATGAGATCTTGCTGTTGACAGTTGCTGATGAGATCTGGGATGACGACAGTCGTTGTATTTCCCAGTCCAACTCGTCCACTTCATCCTTATATTTCTAAAGGGAACAGACAAATGTTGTACTTATTATGTATAACTTGCTTTTCTATTAAGAGAGTATGATATTTATAATAAGTATTATCATATCCTGACACTACGTTTATATTCATCATTTACTATAAAGAGTGAGGCACCATAATATTATGATAGTCGGTGAGCCAGTCATTGTGCATTAACTTCTTGTAGAATACCATTAAATGGATTAGCTTTGCATTACTAGACAGACATGTGAGCAGTGTGACAGTAAAGAAAGTGCTTAAACTTGCTTGGAATGTAGGGTGTAACATTATATACTATTTCATTAGAATTAGTTAATTTCATAAAATGTGTGAAAAATCGGGCAAAGTTACATCAATTCAGTCTGTATACCAACACTGAACTCTCATAAATCGTCATCAGAAGCTGACAAGCTACATTAAGTCGAATTAGAAATTCACTGCAAACATTACATATCAAGTGTAATTCTAATCCAAAGACAACAAGAGCCTTAAAGTATATAATATTCTGGGCGACTAATAATTGGTTTATCAACCTGTTGTGATTGACAGGCAGCCATCGCCAAGCAGCATTGTGATAGAACCTTATATAGACAAAGCTTTGTAATGAAGTGCCGCTAAAGCTAGCAGCACACTTCACCATTTTCGTTGCTCGTACAGGCAATTTTCGTGGTCGGCAATTTTTGTGGCCGTTGCCGCGTCACAGCACACTTCACCACAAGTTGCCACCACGAGCAATTTTCGTGGTGAGAAATCAAATCGGTTTGATTCTTAGCAACTCGTGGTCACCACTAAATTTCTGTGGTGAGTGGTCGTTACCGGTCCCCGCACACTTGGCCATTTTTGTGGCGACCACGAAAATTGCCTGTACCAGCAACGAAAATGGTGAAGTTTGCTGCCCGCTTTAGTTGACAATTTGGATTGTAGATGTGTTACACCACCTACAAACCCGGTGAGCTTTACCAAATTAGAAACAATATTCAAGGGGGTGTAGTCCTCATGTTTAAGGCAGGATTTTAAGGATACTCTCAAGGTTTTAGGAAATTTTTTTTAATGATTTTTCATTTTCAACTTTATTCGATGGCTAACACTATGTGCCACCTGTGTACGTGCTCATTTCTTCATATAACGGTACATGTGAACTGTCAGAGCGTTTTGCTTGCCCGCGTACATTATAGTACATGTATACATGTACATTATAGTACATTATAGTACATTATGGTACATGTGTAGTGAGCCGCGGCTGACGTCATTATGACGTCAGACACATGATACAACCAGCATTTTCACGATATTCACTGAGCCAGTATCCATCAACCCCCTATTCCTTATTATCTACTCCTGATCAACATCAACCCTGCTACAGCTGTACTACTACCCTGATCCAATAAGTATCCCACAAGAGCCTAAAATAGTTCTCACACCTCGCAACGCACCTTACATAAGGCGCGCGTTTGTTGACAGTGACGTCACGCAATGGGCGGGTTCGCGCCATTTGCATGAAATTGCGTTGGTCACCTCGTAATATCTGAAAATTTCTCAAGGTGCATGGAACATTTTACCAATTTAGTGGTGTCAGTTAGTCATGGATATGTCGCAGTAAGTACTAACAGTAGATATTTCACATACGTTCACCCATTTTGCACACAGGCGGTCACTCATTGTGAAAAATAGAAAAACCCTGATTTCTCCGTTTCGATTTCTGACATAGTAGCCGATGTATAAATGGATATTTCTCTGTGATTACAACTCGGATTAATTTAATTTTACACTCGTTTTAATGGTAACATATTGTGGTAAAGAAGTGCGTCAGGGATTGTTATTAAGTGCCGTATTTTATTAGTTATGCCTCTTTATTCGCTAAAATTTTTAATTTGAACACACAACTTGATTTTTAAGCAGTTTTTTCCAGTTTTCTCGGTAAATATGAAAATAAAAAAAAATCCTGACGCACTATTTTGGTCCATATTGTGCTTAACATGTAGCAAAAATTTTGTATCCTCACTCTTTCTGTTAGTTGAGATATATCTAAAATACCATTTTTACATAAAAATTCAAAATTTGTGTAGTAACATAATTAGGTGAGGGAAATTTCATGAAATTTTTTGGCTTGAGCATAGAGATATATCTCCTCTATAAATAAAACAAGTGATTGATTCGATTCATTCGCCAATAAACGTTTAATCTTCATTAGAGCAATACCCATGCAAAAGGTGGAGAGTATCCTTAAATCAAGTGCATACATGGCTCTTGCTGTTCCTACCTCTACTTGACCACGAGAGCTCGCATTTTCAATCTTAACTGACTCCAACTCTTCCTCGCGCCTCTCCAGCGCCTTCTGCACGTGTATGAGCTCTCCTTGAAGTTTTGCAATGGCAGTTTCAAGAGTTGATACTTTGCCCTCCAGGACAACCTGCAAAAAAATTACAGCTTACCATCCAACTTTTAAATTGAATTAATTTTGTTAGTCTTTTCAGTTTTACAATAAAAATCTACCGTATTAAATGCAAATAAATGGTCTACTCCAAATTAATACACAGATATTTATAATTTTACGCTATATTTTTACATACTTTATGCTAAACTTCAGCTTAAAACAGTATTGATTATTTAATAACTTATTCAATAATGAATAAGCAATAACTTGTATTAAAGGACCTAATATCAAATAATATACAAACTATACAATAATAGCTCAATAATACAAATAAATAACAATATCAATAAACATAATAACAATAACTTAATTAATCACAACTAATTAATAATTTGCACTCAGCATGTCCCACCTTCTCGGTGCGCAGATCGTTGCACGTTATCTGGAGAGCGATCAGCTCATCGTTCTCGCACTGCAGTGTCAGGTTATGCTGCGTTTCATTCTGCTGCACCTGCAGCTGCAGTCTCAGCTTCTCTGCAACCTGCTGCTGCTCCTGCAGCTGCTCCTGCAGCCTCATCTCCCGCTCCTTCGCCTCACCGGCCGTCGTCTCAAGCTAAGATAACAGACGCTGACTTTTTAATGTGACGGTGCATATTGATAGAATGTTGGAGGGGTTTCGTAACGCTAGCAGTTTCAGCTCGTAAAACTCATAAGCTATGGAAACAGCAACGAAAAGAACTCTTAATTTTGCTGGGTGATGGACGTTTGGCAGGAATGGCAAGCTATCGTTGCTGCCTTAGGTGCCGCCAGGATGTAGAAGGGTTAATGCAAAATAACATTAATATATTATGTAACTGTAAAATTTAGACTGAAAGTGCAGAGTCTCATACCCATCCACGCCCATGCTGGCAACATTCAATTAAAATGAAGCTTACATATAATCATTATTGCAGCATGAACTCATAAGATTTTATAGAGTGTCACTTTTATTAACAGTAATAATTTTTTAATGTATCTCGTCCCTAAATGAATGAACGTCAAAGGTTTGGACCTGCCGTCTCAGTTCCTCGACACGTGCACCATGCTCTAGTTCCAGATGGCGCTGCTTGTCCAACTCCTCCTGCTTCAGTGTTCGCTCAAGGGTTTCAATATCTTCATGTTGAGACTTGTTCGCTAACGTCAATTCTTTGACCTTGCCACGTAGGGCATAGGTCTCCTGCTCAAGTTCCTGACACATATATATGGAAATGATTAGACATAAAAGCTGAGATAAAGCCAAACACATTGAACGTACTTGTATGCAGCTAGATATTAGGTTAAAACAACAACATCACTTTAACTTTCAACAGACATGAAAAAAACCTATTTAGTTTAAACAGGAAATGCCTTAGGAAGTTCATCTTAGCCTAATAATGATCTGAAATTGTACCAATCACGCATTCAGGTGCCACTCACATCACATACACCAGTACACCCCCAGTTGTATTCTGGTGTCCAAAGCATCTATACCACTTTTTCTTGTTTCTACTATAGTAACCCAGCATACAGCTTGGCTGGTAACAAAGCTGAGCTATGTCAGACTTTACATAACACTCAGAACGTTTTACAACCTTAGCCAAATTCCCACATTTACACGTCAATACGGAAGTATCCCAGAGAATAGTCATTCTCACCTCAATTTGAGTTTCCCTAGTTTTAGACTGTCTATCCATTTCAATAGACAGCTCCTGGTTCTGTTCCAAGAGCTGCTTGCCGAACATGGCTGCGGTCCGAGCATTCTTGTCGAGTTGCTCCAATTCCTCCTTGAGGTTTGCTAGCTCCTTGTCTTTTAGAGCAATGAGATTATGCAGTATCTGTGCATCTTCAGGAGCTTCCATTCTCTGCTACAAGAAAAAAGACCAGAGTTAAATTGCCATTTGGCATGGCCAATGCTTTTATACAATTGTACTGTTATGAGAAATTGAGGAGGAGCGTTATGTTCAACATAGTTGTTATCATCTACTGTATATCTCACAATGAATGGAAGTCATTTATCAACCCTCATTGTCGACTTAGCTCATGGTAGAGCCAAAAAATAAGGGAAGATTGACCTAGAGATAGGATGAAATTGTTGGTAATAAAATTCAATATTTCATCCCTCCCCAGAGAATAGCACCAGATTTAGTATAATCCTTAGGTGTTGTTTACTAATAGTAATAATGAAAAAATGTGCTTTACAACCAGACCTGCCAACCCCATCTGATGATCATCAGTAATAATTATTGGATTTTTCCGTAACAAATAGGCATTTGTCAGTAACACCTTTTTGTCAGTCTTATTACAGTATAATAATAACATAATTAGCATAAAGATGCCATTTGGCAGTTCCACACATACACACAAGCGTGCGCATTACGTTTTAAGAGCTATTAGTCTAAATCTACAGACACAGTAGTCATGTTACATGATAATAGTTGATTTTACACTGTGTTTATTTCTTTTTTTTTGCATTAAAAAATATAAATTTCAGAGATTTCTTGCTGTCCGTAATTTTTCGAGGTCGTCCGTAACACCGTAATTTTGACTCGCGTCCGTAACAAATTACGGGCAATACGTAACAGTTGGCAGGTCTGTACAACTAACCCATATTAGTAACACAAAGGCAATACCTAGCACTACAATATTGACCTGGGATTAATTCCACAAGCTTGTGCAGCAGGCATAATAGTGTAGTGTGGTAGAGCTATAGGGGTATGCCAGGGTATACTATACCTAGCTAGCTCCAAGCAATGCCAGGGTTAATAGTAGTAAGACACATGTTGAAATAAGGACTTATAAGACCCATTCTGGAGGCCAAAATAAGACTTTTTTACGCGATTTCTGATAGATCACCGACTATTAAAGTACACTAATAATATTTATATACACAATTGCACAGCAGATTTAATTATTCCGTATTATATATACAACAATTCTTACTCTAAGTCGAGAACAGTTTATAAAACCTTTGGCAAAAAATAAGGACTATTAAGTACTTTTCTAAGATTTCACCAAAAATAAGTACTAATAAGGGCCCTTATTTTATTTTTGGCAAAATAAGTACTTATAAGACTTTGGAAGACCCACTACGAACCCTGAATGCTAATATATTTACATTTCAGACACATTATTGGATATATATGTCAGTGACAAACTAAAATTAATGAACATTTATATACACAAGTATCTTCCTATATATATCTAACCAGATGAGACGGGATACTAGACAAGCGTTGCCGAAAGGTGTTAATCCGAAGTGCTGCGCGATCTTGCGCGCAGTTCCGCGGCAAGGCGCACGCGGGAACGTCCTACGACAGTATGCAGCGCTGGCAGCTATGGATC